GACCTCGTGATCCACCCGCCTCGGCCTCCCAAAGTGCTGGGATTACAAGCGTGAGCCACCGCGCCCGGCTAAAACACGTCTTTTGGGAACTGTAGCATGCCTGTAGTCCCAGCTCCTTAGGAGGCTGAGACAGGAAGATCACTTGAGCCAGAAGTTCCAGTCCAGCCTGGGCAACATATGGAGACCACCCATCTCCAGGAAAAAAAAAAATTCCTGTTAAAGAAAACAAAAACAAAAAACAAGTGTTTTATAACCTTAAAGGTTAATTTTCACAATATATATAACCTCTTTTATTTTTTTTCTATACTTAGGAAGCGATTCAGATTTCTGTGGCGTTTTGTTTTTGTGTTTGTTTTTAAAACAAGGTCTTATCCTGTTGCCCAGGCTGGAGTGCAGTGACGTAATTTGGGCTCACTGCAACCTGAAGTAGCTGTAACTACAGGCACACACCACCATACTTGGCCAATTTTTGTATTTTTTGTAAAGACGGGGTTGTAGCATGTTGCCCAGGCTGGTCTCGAACTCTTGGGCTCAAGTGATCTGTCTTCCTCCAAAGTGCTGGGACAACAGGCATGAGCCACCAGGCCCAGCCCAAGGATTCAAGTTTCTATTACTGGTTGTGTAATCTTTTTAACTGATTGTTTGACTGGTCCACTGAACAATTTAGGAAGATAAAGGAAGAAAACAAAATCAGCAGCTTCCTTGTAATCCTCTAGCAGCATTCATCCAAAGAGATATCTCATTATGATCAGAAGCAACTTCTGATGGCTAGCAGTTAGGGGGACCAGAAGAGTTCATCAGTTGATTAGCAGTCTTCATCACTTCATTCAGCTAATACCAACATATACTTAGGGACAAAGCAAAATGAAGCAATTAAAGTTACATAGAGCTATCATTAGAATATTATAATTCAGCCTAATTAAGAGGAGCGCTGTTATATTTTTAGCCCTCTTACAATTGCAAGTGTTAGAAATACAACTCAAGTAGAAAAGAAAAATTATTATTAGCAATCTCTTAGCTGTCTCTGCTTTCTTCCACTATAGCCTTATTCTCAGGTTTATTCTCTCTATGTGATATCAGGATGGCTTTCTTAACACCCAGGGTCTTAGAAAGATACAGTGCTTCTCTCCCAGTAATCCCAGTGAAAGTCTTGAGAGCTTTCATTATCCCAGCATGAGTCCCTGGAGCCAGGCAGTGCTGTCAGCTCCAAAACAGCAGTATGTATGGATTAAGAGTTGGGGAGAGGCCAGGTATGGTGGCTTACACCTGTAATCCCAGCACTTTGGGAGGCCAGGGCAGGAGGATCACTTGAGGTCAGGAGTTTGAGACCAGCCTGGCCAACATGGTAAAACCCTGTCTCTACTAAAAATATAAAAATTAGCTGGGCATGGTGACATGCACCTGTAATTCCAGCTACTTGGGAGGCTGAAGCAGGAGAATTGCTTGAAACCTGGGAGGCGGAGGTTGCAGTTAGCCGAGATTGCACCACTGCCCTCCAGCCTGCCTGGGCAACACAGAGAGACTCGTCTAAAAAAAAAAAAATAGAGAGTTGGGGAGAGAAGATTGTTTCCCAAAGGAAAAATTGGGATGCTGTTATCCCAAAACAGGGGAAGATATATTGGGTAGGCAAAACAACAGTTATCCATAATACCTGTTATAAATAAATCATTTTAAAATAACATTAAAAAGAGGGAGAACTTGCACTGTCTTACTTATTGATGTTTGATATCTCATATAATTTCTTGCCAGGTAGGAGCAGCACTTAGACCAGCCTTCACTTCAGAGACACCACCTCATGTCACTGCCAAAGCATGTCAGGTAAATGGTTAAAAGATGAAGCTTAAGAAATAATCTTGGGAAGTAATCCTCTAGTTTGTATTTTTTACCATTTTTTTTTATAGTTGTCTTACTGGCAATCACAGCTTACATTTTTCTTCTCAAATATAGAGAACTTCCTCTTTTTGACAACTGCATGATAATCCACTATATGGATATGTTACAATTTATTTAACCAGTTTCATATTGATGGACATTGGGGTTTTTTGTCTTTTGCTATTAGAATAGCGCTGTATGAATGACCTTGGGCATGGGTCATTTCACTGGGTATAAGCATATCTGTGAGATAAATTCCTCAAAATTGAATTGATGGATTAAAGAGTGTATTAGAGGTATTTACCATTTAAATTTCCACCAGCATTGTTGTACAAGTACGTGTTTTGCCACAGTCCCAGCAACATCGTGAGTCATCAAACTTATCGATTTTTTTCTATATGATAGAATAAAAAGACTATCTCAGGATAGTTTAGATTTGTATTTTAAATGAGATTGAGTACTTTTTCATATACCTAAGAGCTATATAGTATACAATTTTAAACAGTTGCTTATCTCAGACTGTGTTGTCAAACACTTAATATCCAGCCCTAGGCCAGGCACAGTGGCTCACGCCTGTAACCCCAACACTTTGAGAGGCCAGGGCAGGCAGATCACTTGAGTTAGAGGCCAGCCTGGCCAACATGAAACCCAGTCTACTAAAAATACAAAAAAGTAGCCAGGCATGGCGGTAGGCGCCTGTTGACCCTGGTACTCAGGAGGCTGAGGTGGCAGGATCACGTAAACCTGGGAGGTAGAGGATGCAGTGACCTGAGATCATACCACTGTACTCCACCCTAGATGACAGAACAAGACTCTGCCTCAAAGAAAAAAAAAAATCTAGCCTTGAATGACCTGAAGTAATTAAAACCAGGACTGGCATGAATAAATTAATTATAAATTTAGTGGGAAAAACTAATTTTAGTCAGTTCTTTCAATTTTCTTTTATTTAATTGTATTTGGGAAATAGTTGAGTGCTTTCAGAGAACTATGTTAAATGTTTTAAGAATCTCTGTTATAACTTTATTGTGTGTGTTCTTGCTGTAAGCTACTGGAAATATTTTGTGAGATGAGATAAGAATTAAATAAATACACAGAAGAGGAAAAATAAATTTTTCTTAGAAAAAGAGAAATATCAGCTGGACACAGTGGCTCATTCCGGTAATCCCAGCACTTTAGGAGGCCAAGACAAGTGGCTCACTTGGGCTTAGGAATTCAAGATCAGCCTGGGCAACATAGGGAGACTCTGTCTCTATAAAAATTAGCCAGGCATGCTGGTGTGTGCCTGTGGTCCCAGCTACTTAGAAGGCTGAGGTGGGAGGATCCCCTGGGCCAGGGAGGTAAGGGCTGCAAGAGCCACGATGGTGCTACTGCATTCCAGCCCGGGCTACAGAGCAAGACCCTATCCCTAAAAAAGAGAGAGCAATATCTTGGCACCTGGAAAAACCATAGCTTGAGTGTTTTGCATTGTAGAATTAATGATGTTTTGTTTTTAAGATTAAAAATACACTGTCTTCAAAACAACCAAAAATTTTTGTTGGGGTTTTATGATTTCATAGCTTCATTTCTCAATATTAATTCATCTAGAGCTGTTCAATTTATATACGCATTAGCACTGGTTTCCTTGCTTCAACCTTAAGACTTCATTCCCTTTGGAAATGCTGACTTTGACTAACATTATCAGGCTCCTTCCATAGGATTTCTTAAAAGCAATAGCAATATAGTCTCAGTGTCTAGATTCTTGACATGTAAGTGAGCTCTGCTGAACTCACAATGGAGCTTTTTTTTTTTAGAGATAGGATTTTTTTAGTACTACAGGTGCACATCACCATGCCCAGCTAATTTTTGTATTTTCCTTTAGACAGAGTTTTGACATGTTGCCCGGGCTTGTCTCAAATTCCTGGGCTCAAGCAGTCTGCTTGCCTCAGCCTCCCAAAGTGCTAGGATTACAGGCATGAGCCACCACACTCAGCCAAGGGAGATATAATTTTAAAATACAACTTTTAATTTCTTGAAAACTAGGTTTGCAGTGCCTGGATAGCAAGTGGAGTTGTAAGTGACCTTAATGATCTACGAAGAGTTCATCAGTTGCTTGTCTCATCATTAACGAAAATACAGGCTGGAAAAGAAGCTCCAAGTCACTTATATAATGAAAGTGCTTCTACCATGGAGATCCTAGCTGTGCTTAAAGCCTGGGCAGAGGTTGGTACTTCTTAATTTATAATCAATTTTGGAAATTGTTAATAAACACCTTAGGCCATAAACTGAAATTTACTATTTAAAATTAACTACAAATAAATTCATTCTTAAGGTAACAAAAAGAATTCTAACGTGATGTATTTATATGTTAATATGTTGGTCAAGCATTTTAAAAAGTCTTCCATGGTCTGTTATCTTCTACTTTAAGCAGCGCCACTTATGAGCCAGAGAGACTTTACAATAGCCAGTGGAAATCAGTTTTTATTGAATCTTGAATTCTTGGAAATTTGGGTCTTCTTGTATGTTCTGTCAACTCTGTAGCATGTACTTTAATGTTTTTTTAATGCTGTTTCATAGAATGATTTTTTAATACTAAGTAGTAGTTATTTTCCAAGAATAAAGAAATCTTATAGTAAAATGCTATTTACTTTCCTAATAAAGAAGAAAGGTATATTGTTTTTAAATTTACTATGCAATGTTTAAGCATTTGCAAAAGTAAATGTAATAATATTTATAATGAATCTACATATACCCATCACCCAGCTTCAGCAGTTACCAAACATGACCAATCTTGGTTCATGTATTTTTTTTTTTTTTTTTTTTTTTTTTTGAGACAGAGTCTTGCTTTGTTGATGAGACTAGAATGCATTCGAGCAATCTCTCCTCACTGCAACCTCCACCTCCCAGGTTCAAGCAATTCTCGTGTCTCAGCCTCCCAAGTAGCTGGGACTACAGGTGTGAACCACCATGCCCAGCTAATTTTTGTATTTTTAGTAGAGACGGGGTCTCACCATGTTGGCCCGGTTGGTATTGAACTCCTGACCTCAAGTGATTCACTCGCCTCGGCCTCCCAAAGTGCTGGGATTATAAGCATGAACCACCATGCCTGGCCCAGTTCACATATCATTTTAATGAAGGTATGTAACCTCAGATTTTATCTAACAGATTAACCAACATGTACAAAAGGGTTTCCTCCAGTAGAGGTATTTTAAACCGGAAAGCTGTAGAATCTTTGTCATTATTTAGGACATTCTTCATTAGGAAGTAGTTGTGCCTAGATTCAATAAACTGGATCTGGCCAGGTGCAGTGGTTCGTGCTTATAATCCCAACACTTTAGAAGCCCAGTGGAAGAGGATTACTTGAGGCCAGGAGTGTGAGATCAGCCTGGCAACATACTGAGACCCCATCTCTATATAAAATTTTAAAATTAAATAAAATAGACTGGGCATGGTGGCTTATGTCTATAGTCCCAGCACTTTGGGAGGCTGAGGCAGGCGGATCACTTGAGGTCAGGAGCTCAAGACCAGCCTGGTCAACATGGTGAAACTCCATCTCTACTAAAAATACAAAAAGTAGCCAGGCATGGTGATGTGTGCCTGTAATCCCAGCTACTTGGGTGGCTGAGGCAGGAGAATCGCTCAGACCTGGGAGGCGGAGGTTGCAGTGAGCCAAGATGGCACCACAGCACTCCAACCTGGGTGACAGAGCAATACATCGTCTCAAAACAATAAAAATAAAATAAAATAGACTGGGCCTGGCGTGGTGGCTCATGCCTATAATCCCAGCACTTTGGGAAGCTGAGGCGGGCAAATCACCTGAGGTTGGGAGTTTGAGACCAGCCTCACCAATATGGTGAAACCCCGTCTCTTTAAAAAAATAATAAATAAAATAGACTGGATCTAAATCTCTGTGCTTTTGCTTAAGCCTGTTACCTCCTCTTATTTCCTCAATAAAGATTAATAACGACTGACCAATATATTTTTCATAATTGAGGTCCATAATCCCTTATCTGAAGTCTTTGGAGCAGATATATTTGGAATTCAGACTTTGGGAGATTTTAGAAAAGTAATATAGTGCGTATTTCATATCTGTCTAGGAAGTCTGGTGCAAGAGTCTATAATCAAACACATTAATGTTTGAATATTCATACTGTGTTGTGTTTATAGATATAAATGGCCTCACATACGTTCAGTCAGTTTTGCCACCAGATTAGTTTGCCAAAAACTTAGGTTTTTTCAGAGCTTTTTGGATTTTAGAGTTGTAGATAAAAAGATAGTGCATGTTATATACTGTGTTGTGTGCTTTAACATTCTATAATCCATGTTAAATCTATTTTGTACACTTTTTGTAGAGATTTAGTGATATGTTTGAATGAAAATATTTTCACTGTTTCAGTTAAGAGATGGCTGCCTGTAGCCATATGTTAAGATGGCTTATTAGGCCGTACCAGGCTTAATGAGAAAGAGTGCGGTGATACAGTATTATGATTGTAAATGTGAGAGGTGGCATCATATTTACCAGATATTTGTTATCCCTAATGCATCTCGTTGAAGATAGTATTTTTGGCTCTTTCTGCCCCAGTTTTCTGTGTGTAGTTACACACACAGGCCTTTTTTGATATCTGAGTGCATTTCAAGTCCAGTATACTCAAAGATAAGTCTGCTTCTTCAGGAAGATATAAAAATTTGATAGCATCTTTTCAGCAGATAAAAGGTTTTCCTGTTTTTAAATTAACAGGTCTATATAATTGCTGTGCAAAGCCATAAAAACCACAGACAACCTTTGAAGACTACCACCTGTTTAGAAGACAGTATCAGATATGGATCATGTTCATCAGATGGACTACTTGACTTAGTCTACACAGATCTTGGCACACTAAGCAGACTCTGGCTTGCTGCACTTCAGGATTTTGCTCTTTTAACTTTGCCTTCAGAATTTGCCTCCCAACTTCCTGCTGAAGGTAAGGAGGTAAAATACTTAGATAATTCCTAGAGTGGCAGAGTGGCAGTAACATATTTTCTTTCTTTTTTTTGAGACCAGGTCTTACATTGTTGCCCAGGCTGGAGTGCAGTTGCACAATTTTGGCTCACTGCAACCTCAACCTCCTGGGCTCAGGCGATCCTCCCACCTCAGCCTCCCAAGTAGTAGGGACTACAGACACATACCACCCTACCCAGATAATTTTTGTACCTTTTGTAGAGATGGGTTTTGCCATGTTGTCCAGGCTGGTCTCAAACGTCTATAATCCCAGCACTTCGGGAAGCCAAGGCAGGTGGATCACTTGAGGTCCAGAGTTTGAGACCAGCGTGGCCAACATGATGAAACCTCATCTCTGCTAAAAACACAAAAATTAGCCTAGTATGGTGGTGAGTGCCTATAATCTCTGCAACTCGGGAGGCTGAGGCAGGAGGATTGCTTGAACCTAAAAGGAGGAGGTTGCAATGAAGTAAGATTGCGCCACTGCACTCCAGCCTAGGTGACAAGAGTGAGACTCTGTCTCAAAAAAAAAAAGAGAGATACACCCACCAGCAACTTGTTTTCATTATCAAGAGCTAACTACCATATTATCATACTTAATAATTTTTGCCAATTGGATGGCTATGAAATAATATTTCATTGTTTTATTTTCATATTTCCTTGATTGAGAATCTTTAAGTTGCTTTTTCCATAAATAACCTAATCATAATCTTTGGCTGCCTGTAGCCATATGTTAAGATGGCTTATTAGGCAATACTAGGCCTAATACCATCTGTTATTTGCTATTTATTGTTTCATTCCTGGTTGTTTAATCCTTTATATGTATATACAACACTATTCCTTTATGGTTGCATGTCTTATATTTCCTCTCAGTCTGTAACTTGTCCTTTTCTTTTACCTTTTTTAAACTAATGTAAGCTGAGTGTGATGTAGTTTACCTGTAGTCCCACTACTGGGGAGGCTGATGTGGGAAGATCCCTTGAGCCCAGGAGTTGGAGGCTGCAGGCAGCTATGATTGTGCCACTGCACTCCAGCCTGAGTGACAGAGCAAGTCCCTCTCTTTTAAAAAAAAAAAAAAAAAAAGGAATGTAATCAATCACTCGTTTATGGTTTGTGTTTTTGTATGTTACCAGATATATTTTTAAATTTGAGATCATAAAGACATAGAAGCTTTACAGTTTTGCCTTTTACATTTTGAACTATGGTAGAACTGGAATTTATTTTGTGTGTGGAATGGGGATAGGGTTCTTATTTTTAGTCAGCTACTAATACTGCATTTTATGGGTTGGTTACTTTGTAGCCACCCTTAATCTTCTTCATGTTATTCCACAATGTCTTGGCTATCATTGTATTTTTACTTTTTGATAGGAATTTTAGGATGAGCCTGTAAAGTTCTGTTAGTTTTGTGTTTGTGTGTATTTGGTTTGTTTGTTGGTATGTTTGTTTTTAGAGACAAGGTCTTGCTGGGTTGCCCAGGCTGGAGTGCAATGACTGTTCACAGGAGCAATCATGGTGCACTATAGCCTGGAAGTCCTGGGCTCAAGTGATCCTCCCACCTCACCTTCCTAAGCAGCTGGGACTATGGTGTACATCATGGTGCCCAGCCTGTTTCTATTAGAATTTTCATTGGAATTATACACAAAAAGATATGTGGAGTCTTTGTTGTACTTTTCAGTAGCATAAAAGTGGAAACAAAGTAAAAATAAACTGATTTATTTACACAACAGAAAAATGAATGACATACGGCAACTATAAGTAAATCTTAAAAACATAATGTTAATTGAAAAAAACCTTTTTTTTTAAGATGGAATCTTGCTCTGTGGCCCCGTCTGGAGTGCAGTGGCTTGATCTCATCTCACTACAACCTGCACCTCCCAGGTTCAAGCAATTCTCCTGCCTCAGCCTCCTGAGTACCTAAGACTATAGGTGTGTACCACCACACCCAGCTAATTTTTGTGTTTTTAGTAGAGATGGGGTTTCTCCATGTTAGCCAGGCTGGTCTTGAGCTCCTGACCTCAGGCGATCTACCTACCTCAGCCTCCTGCAGTGCTGGGATTACAGGCATAATAAAGGATGCATGTAAGCCAGGCATGATGGTATATGTCGGTAGTCTCAGCTACTCAGGAGGCTGAAGTAGGAGGGTCACTCTAGCTGAGGAGTTAAGGGCCAACCTGGACAACATAATGAGGTTCCATCTAAAAAAACAAAAAGGATACATAAAGTATGATGCCTTTTAAGTAAACTTTTAAACACAAAAAATAATAGCATGTGTTATTATTGAATACATACATTATTGTGAAAGTATAAGACCATTGCTAGCAGTTATTCTCACTGGCTTGAGAAAAGTAGTCATGGAAGGAGGAGCAAGAATTAGTGCCATAACAAAGTTTTAGATTTTTTAAGGAAAAAATTGGTTGGGTGCTGAGGCTTACGCCTGTAATCCTGTCGCTTGTGGGGGCCAAGGTGGGCAAATTGCCTGAGCTCTTGGGAGTTCACTACCAACCTGGGCAACATGGTGAAACCCCATCTCTACTAAAATACAAAAAATTAGCCGGGCATGGTGGTGCACACCTGTAGTCCTGGCTACTCAGGAGGCTGAGGCAGGAGAGCCACTTGAACCCAGAAGTCGGAGGTTGCAGTGAGCCGGTATCATGCCACTGTACCCCAGCCTGGGCAACAGAGTGAGACACTGAATTTAAAAAAAAAATAAAAGAGAGATACTTAAGAAAATCAGAAATGTTAATGTCCATCTTAGAAAAGGGTAAATGTGTATTGTTATTTATTTTAATCACACATATACATATATTTTTGCTTTAAAATATTTATGATTGAATTATAAAAAGATACAGATTAGGCTGCAAACTTCTTATGATCAGCCCTATGACCTATCAGTTTTACTCCCAGGAAAAATAAGAACATTGGTAACAAAATATTGATAACACAGCAACAGGAGTGAATCTCTAAAAATGTTGTTAGATTATTTTGTTAACAAAATGTTAGTCACAAACAAGTAGATACTATATATGTGACTCTATTTATATGAAGTTCAAGAATAGACAAAATTAATCTGTGCGGATAAAAATTAGAAAGTTGTTGCCTTGGCCGGGCGCGGTGGCTCAAGCCTGTAATCCCAGCACTTTGGGAGGCCGAGGCGGGTGGATCACAAGATCAAGAGATCAAGACCATCCTGGTCAACATGGTGAAACCCCGTCTCTACTAAAACTACAAAAAATTAGCTGGGCATGGTGGCGCGTGCCTGTAATCCCAGCTACTCAGGAGGCGGAGGTTGCGGTGAGCCGAGATCGCGCCATTGCACTCCAGCCTGGGTAACAAGAGCGAAACTCCATCCCAAAAAAAAGAAAAAAAAAAAAGAAAGTTGTTGCCTTAGAGTATAGGGAACTGACTGAAAAAGGGTACAAAGGAACTTTCAGATTGATGGAAATGGTCTATATCTTGCTACAGAAAAAAGAGAAAATATATTGGAAGCTAACGTCTTTTATTTCTCCTGAAACTGTCTGCTTTAGGCGGTGCTTTCTACACAGCAGAGACTAGTGAAAATGCAAAATTGCATTATTACAACTCTTGGGCGCTTATCCTCCATGCTACGGCATTGTGGCTTACAAGCACGGGCTTTGTTGTTGCTGACCCAGATGAAGGAGCATCTAATCTCTCCAGGCCTGTAACACCAACTTCCATGTGTCAGGGTTCATCATCTGGGGCTACCATAAAGTCCCCTGAGGATGTCTACACTGATAGATTCCATCTTATTTTAGGTCAGTTAAACCACTTATACAACCCTTGGGGGGTTATTCTTTAATTTTGCCTTACTTTATTCTTAGAGACAGGATCTTATTTTGTTGCCCAGGCTGGAGTAAAGTGGCATGATCATAGCTCACTGCAGCCTCCAACTCATGAGCTGAAGTAATCCTCACACCTTAGCCTCCTGAGTAGCTAGAATTATAGGCATATACCACCACACCTAGCTAATTATTTTTTGTAGGGACAGGATTTTGCTATGTTGCCCAGGCTGGTCTCGTTCTCCTGGCCTGATCCACCCAGCTTAGCCTCCCACTTGCTGGGATTGCCAGTGAGCCACCATGCCTGGCAACTTCTGTCTCTCTAGGTATATATAAAATATCAGTATACTGAGAGGTTTTCCCCCTTGTTGTCAAAGATTGGAAGGGTCTAGAAAACATGCTTAATATTGCAAGCAAGTATTAAAGATAAAAATAAGATTTTTAGATTTATGATGCTTAATTAGCTCATTTTTTAGCCTTCTTGGAACTTTATTTTAAACGTGAGATATATTTCTAAGATAATTCAGTGAGCTTATAGAATAAATGGGATACATTTTTTAACATACTTAACCTATTTCTGAGGAAACAAACTATATGACCATTATTTCTCAAGAAGTTATTGATTAAATGAAATATAAGGTTTTAAAAGTAAATGATTAAATTAAGTAAGATTATGGTTCCTGGGTTTCTATTATTCATTCCCAGGCCAGGCATGACCAGATTCCTGTATCTTGAGCATATTAAAAACTTGTTTTCAGTTGCCATAGGATGAGAGCTTTTTAAAAACAAACTTTTATAGAATGAAGGATTGCAGATTTAGTATGAGCATAAGCTATTCAATTCAACTGAGTTCAGATTTTTGATGCACGTAATTTTGACTGACCTTGAACAAATTAAATTACTTAAGCTCACAATTACTGACAATTAAAAATAAAGATATAAATTAGTTTAGGTCTCTGCTCATTTATCTCAGAATTAGTGTTAATAATAGTGCCTACTTTTCAACTATTACGAGAATTTAATAAAAAGATGTATGTAAAAGCACAGTGGCTGATACGTGACAGTCATTCAATTAATTTTAGCCAAAATAAAGTTAGGAACTCCATATGTTTTCTGGTGCAATTTTACTGTAATTTTTGCAGCTTTGAACTGTTTCATAGCAGCTAAGCAACTAGTGCACAGGCCTTGTTTAGATTATTATTTTTGTACATGTAGATAGAAACAAACTATTAAGTGACTTGCTTTGTGATTTAATTGTTTAGTCTTAAATTCATTGTGATTGGCTGGTCCGAGTGCAGTGGTGTTTACAACTAATTGATCACAACCAGTTAACAGATTTCTTTGTTCCTTTTCCATTCCCACTGCTTCACTTGACTAGCCTTAAAGAAATTTAAAAAAAAATAAATTCATTGTGATTTATTTGCATTACCGCCTTACTGTTTGTTTATATATCTTACCAAAATAATAGATTAATTACTTAATTTCATAAACTAATAATTTGAAAGAAGCCTCCTTCTCTTTTTTGGTTTCCACAGGAATCAGCGTGGAATTTCTATGTTCCTTACGTTCAGACGCAACCATGGAAAGCATAACTGCTTGTTTACATGCATTGCAGGCACTTCTAGATGTACCTTGGCCCAGATCAAAAATCGGCAGTGATCAGGTGATTTCTCTGGGTTTTTTTTGTTTTGTTTTGTTTTGTTTTGTTTTGTTTTGTTTTGTTTTGTTTTGTTTTGTTTTTTGTAAGGATTCTGCAGACTTTAAGGAAGACAAACATGTTCAGGTTTCTATAGTTAACGAAAGTAAACACAGAAATTTTTTAAAAAACTGTACAGCCGCACAAGTAGGCCTTTGAACCAGAATGCTATAGCATATGTGTTTACCCAGAAGTATTCATGCCTCTGACTCTGCCACATTTCTGTCTCTGCTTCTTTCTGCAATGATGGGAAGGTTCTGTGTTGCATTGTCCAGGACAGTAGCCACTAGTTACATGTGACATTTATTCTTTGTTTCTTTTTGCTTCTGCATAGCCTGCTCTTTGTATATATACTTATATCTTATATTCCATTCCCCAAGAGAGAATCTAATGGGTTGATGTACTTAATGTCCACTACACAATACTCCAATTGGCTGAGTTCTCCCTCCAGGTCTTTTTAAGAGATTGCTTACTAGCTTATAGATGGAGTCAGGCACTAATATTCAACTTGGATGTGGCCAAAGGAAAAGGATTCCTGTACAAAGTATGGTACTCCTTTGACTGCTTTTCTCAAGGGCAAGTATGCATTGGGCAGATACTCTTATATCATCTTTTATCCAGTATATTACTTTTGTTATTGATACTTGGATGTTAAGATAAATGAGTAGTATGATTTCCTCTCCACAGACTATCTATTGCTTAAGTGTTTAATACCAACTTTTATTAGGTTTAAGAAATTAATCAGGTTCCTTACTTGGATTGGACTTGAATAAATCTTAAACCCTTTGTGCTTGTTTTCTCTGTTAAAACAAGTATTATAATGACAGATCTACTTTATTATTTTCAAAGATGAAAGAAAGCAACCAAGACTCATCAACATAAAAGAGAAGAGAAAATGGAATATTTCTCTAGTGTATTTTATGCTTTGTGTAGTCATTCTATGCTTATTTACTCACAATTACTTTAAAGTCATATTTTCCCTCGTTATTTATTATTACTAGAAAATACTCTTAATAATATAAATCTGTGAATCTACATGTCAGTCATTTATTCTTTTAGCCAAATTTCCCATCTTGTTTTAGAAATTTCCTTTTCTGTTTTGTGTGAAAATGATCTTTTGTCGTAACACCATCTCCCACAAGATTTGACAAAAAGCAATCTGGAGTTGATTTTTTTTTTTTTTAATTTTTATTTATTTATTTTTGAGACAAAGTCTTCTTGTTACCCAGGCTGGAGTACAGTGGCACAATCTCAGCTCACTGCAATCTCTGCACTCTCCTGCCCCCCAGGTTCAGGTGATTCTCCTGCCTCAGTCTCCTGAGCAGCTGGGATTACAGACACCTGCCACCACGCCCGGGTAATTTCTGTATTATTAGTAGAGACAGGGTTTCACCATGTTGGCCAGACTTGGTCTCGAACTCCTGGTCTCAAGTGATCCACCAACCTCTGCCTCCCAAAGTGCTGGGATTATAGGTGTAAGCCACCACACCCGGCCTCTGGAGTTGATTTAAAGTGGAGCAAGTGCTACTTAACTTTATTGCACTAACACTTGTTTTTTTGTGAACAATTTGTTACATTCTCTTTTTCTGAATTTTGTCATGGCATTTAGCATTGTATTTTTTACAGAAGAAATGTATAATTTCTAATACAGTGACCTCTACATATTTTCTGTGATAGGACTTGGGTATAGAATTGCTGAATGTTCTACATCGAGTAATTTTGACCAGAGAATCACCTTCTATTCAATTGGCTTCACTTGAAGTGGTAAGGCAGATTATCTGTGCCGCTCAAGAACATGTAAAGGAAAAAAGACGAAGTGCAGAAGGTAAATGTTAACCATTAATGCCAAGTTAACCAAACAGCATCATTCTTTTGTGAAGTATTATTTAATGTGTCTATATGGTTTTGATAATCTTTTGTGTGTGGTACAAATAAAACATGTCTAGGCATGGCCTTATTTTACTTTCTGTGCTCTACATTTAGAGGAACTTACCTAGTAATAAACTATAGAAATGATCCCTGAAAGTACAGTCTTTATGCATGGCTTTATTTATTTATTTTGGGACACAGGGTCTTACTCAGGTTGCCCAGGCTTGAGTGAAGTGGTACAATCTTGGCTCACTGCATCCTCAGCCTTACAGGCTCAGGCAATTCTCCCACCTTAGCCTCCTGAGTAGTTGAGACTACAGGCACACGCCACCATACCTGGCTAAGTTTTTGTATTTTTTAGTAGAGACAGGGTGTGGCCATGTTGCCCAGCCTAGTCTCTCAAACTCCTGTACTAAGGCAATCCACCCACCTCGGCCTCCCAAAGTGCTGGGATTACAGGCATGAGCCACCATGCCTGACCTGGCATGGCTTTAAATCCTCTCATTCACCTCTATGTTAGTTTAGATGTTGTCAGTATTTAAACTACTATTCTTTTGGGGAAATGAGAATTTTAACAAAACCTGGAAGGAATAAATCCCCTTATACTACTAAAGTACTTGCTTTAGCTGTGTTTACCAATGTGCATGGAAAGAACTTACATTTGCAGATTGTTCATTTACAAGTCTAATATGGTATTGAATAGTTTACCACTTAAGATTATAGTTGACTACATATTATAGAAAACCCAATATAACAATGGATTTAAACCCCAAAGATTTATTTGCTCATCTGAAAAGGCAGCCAGAGGTAGGCAGTCTAGGGCTGGTATGGCACCTTCTTAAAGATGTTAAGGACGTATGTTTCTTTCTGCCAAGTCACCATCGATACCTAAAGTCGCAAGGTAATTTCTGGAGCTCTAGCTATCAGGTTTACAGTCTTAATAGCAAGAAGGAGTTAACCAGGCAATATTATAAGGGTAACAGAATTAAAAAGACTTCTTTTGACCCATTGCAATAAGAAGTCATAATAAAAATGATTACTTTTACCTTCATAACTTCTTTCTCTCTGAGTCTTTAACACCCAAAATTTAGTCATTAAATGTATTTCCTGGCTGAGTGTGGTGGCTCACGCCTATAATCCCAGCACTTTGGGAGGCCAAGGCGGGTGGATCATTTGAGATCAAGAGTTCAAGACCAGCCTGGTCAACGTGATGAAACCTCGTATCTACTAAAAATACAAAAATGAGCCGAGCATGATGGTGTGCGCCTGTAATCCTAGCAACTTGGGTGGCTGAGGCAGGAGAATTGCTTGAACCCAGGAGGCAGTGAGCCAAGATCACACCACTGCACTCCAGCCTGGGTGACAGAGTGAGACTCCATCTCAAAAAAATTAAAATAAAATAAATATATTTCCTGTAACAGGATTTAACTGAATTGCCATCTACCAGAAGCAAAGCAAGCATAAAGTATTTATTAAACACTATTCTTTCTGTCTTTTAGTTGATGATGGAGCTGCTGAAAAGGAAACTCTGCCAGAGTTTGGAGAGGGAAAGGACACCGGAGGACTTGTGCCTGGGAAGTCTTTGGTGTTTGCAACACTGGAATTGTGTGTATGCATTCTAGTTAGACAGCTCCCAGAACTAAATCCTAAATTGACAGGTAGTCCAGGAGTAAAAGCTACAAAGCCACAGATGCTATCAGAGGATGGAAGTAGATTGGTTTCAGCTGCGTTGGTTATCCTTTCTGAACTTCCTGCAGTGTGCTCTCCTGAAGGTATGCTGTGGTATGTGATTGATTTACTTTACCAAGAAGAGAAATGGTTGTAATGGATAATGGAGTCTAGCTGCTTTCTTTTTAAATGAATGCTGATCCAAACATTTGATTATTGTCCTTAATCCTCTAAGATTAGGATTACATTTTAATAAATTGTTTACTAAAAGAGTGAAAATATAGAGGGCTAGGCGTGGTGGCTCACACTTGTAATCCCTACACTTTGGGAGGCCGTGTTGGGTAGATCACTTGAGGTTGGGAGTTATAGACCAGCCTGACCAACATGGTGAAACTCTATCTCTACTAAAAATACAAAATTAGCCAGGCATGGTGGCACATGTCTATAATCCCAGCTAGTCAGGCTAAGGCAGAAGAATCACTTGAACCCAGGAGGTGGAGTTTGCAGTGAGCCAAGATAGCACCATTGCACTTCAGCATGGGTGACGAGTGAAATTATGTCTTTTAAAAAAAAAAGAGTGAAAAGATAGAGACAGCAAATATTATCAATAGATACGCTCTTCTATGATTGACAGTACTTCTGACCAGTTAGTGGCCGTTACTAACGCTTGGGCATGTTTTGGCATACAATTTCTGACAGATTTTCCAGCCTCAGTGATGGCAGAAGTTTGTCATTATATCTAGTTCTGTTTGGAATTGATTTCATACTCATTTTTTCCTGTTGTTTGACACAAGTACTTCCTCTTGTCACCTAGGCTGTAGTGCAGTAGGACAATCATAGTTCACTGTAACCTCAAACTCCAGGGCTCAAACAATCCTCCTGTCTTAGCTTCCTGAGTAGTTAGGGCTCAGGCCTGTGCCATCATACCTGGATTTTTTAAAAAATTTTTTTGTAGAGTTGGGATCTTGCTATGTTGTCCAGGCTGGTCCTGAACTCCTGGCCTCAGGTGATCCTCCCTCATTGGCATCCCAAAGTGCTGGAACTACAGGTGTGAGCCACCATGCCCAGCAAGTCCATACTCTTTCACTTGGCATTTAAGGCTCTCTGTGTGGCTCTGCTAAGTTGTTACCTTTTCTTGATTCCTTCTTTGTAAATCCTAAACCCGGGAGGCTTCATTGTTCATCTTTGTTCTCTGCTACCAGGTTATTTGATCTGGAATGACCCTTTTTAAAGGGTAAAGTCTCACTGTGTTGCCGAGGCAACGTTGTGAATGTTCTTAATGCCACTGGATTATACACTAAAAGTGGCTAAAATGATAAACTTTATGTTATATATATTTTACCACAGTAAACAATAAATGAAAATAAATTTATCAACTGCCAAATAAAAACAGCAAAAGCGTAGTGATACTTATACAATTTAAACATCATCTCCATTTATAACTGTCAATCCTTAATCCATCCCTAAAAATTTTAATAAAGCTACTTACATTATTTTAATAATTATAATTCTTTATTAGAAATCATCTTTTAAAAGGTCAAAATCTAATGTTGTCTTACTCCTGGATGATTTCTTTTTAGGAACCATATATATATGTATATATATATGTATGTATGTATGTTAAAATCCAGTGTGTTTTTAAAAATTTTGTCTTACAGGAAGCATCTCAATTCTCCCTACTATATTGTACCTCACAATTGGGGTCCTCAGAGAGACTGCTGTGAAGTTACCTGGGGGCCAGTTATCTTCAACAGTTGCAGCTTCCCTACAGGCTCTAAAAGGAATATTATCTTCTCCAATGGCCCAGGCAGAAAAGAGCCATACTGCTTGGACTGACCTTCTTCGAAGTGCTTTAACAACAATTCTTGACTTTTGGGATCCAGGTAATTAAGGCTGTGTGGAAGCAGTTACGTTTGTTTTAAAAAGTGAGAAGAGTTTTTTGAGGATAAGATATTTGATCTGATCATATTTGGCTATATCACCTAGAGGAGACCATATTCAATACTAGTGTTTAGAGGATATGTACAAGTAGATAGAAAGTTGGCTGGGCACGGTGGCTCACACCTGTACTCCCAACACTTTGGGAGCCAAGGCAGGAGGTTGGGACCAGCTGGCCAGCATGGTGAAACCCTGTCTCTACTAAAAATGCAAAAATCAGCCAGGTGTGGTGCCACACGCCTGTAATCCCAGCTACTCAGGAAGCTGAGATAGGAGAACTGTTTGAACTCAGGAGGCAGAGGTTGCAGGGAGCCGAGATCACGCCACTGCACTCCAGACTGGATAAAAAAGCGAGACTCCGTCTCAAAAAAAAAAAAGAAGAAAGCTGTGTTCTGGGGCCAGGCGCGATGGCTCACCTCTGTAATCCCAGCACTTTGGGAGGACAAGGCTGACAGATCACTTGAGGTCAGGAGTTCAAGACCAGCCTGGGCAACATGGTAAAACCTCATCTCTATTAAAAATACAAAAATTAGCTAGTTGTGGTAATGCATGCCTGTGGTCCTACCTCATGGAAGGCTGGGGCAGGAGAATTGCTTCAACCCAGGAGGCAGAGCTTGTAGTGAGCTAAGATCATGCCACTGCACCCCAGCCTAGCTGACAGAACAAGACTGTCTCAAAAAAGTAAAATAAAAAAAGTTGTGTTCTGAGTTTAGCCCTTACTTAATGCAGTTAAATGTCAGGCAACCGATATGCTGACAGTGAAAGACCTTCAGATGTAATAGTATGTTTAGTAAAAAAATGTAGTATGATCCATTCTAGCCAACAGAAGTGTTTAATACAGTATACTGAAAAGTACATAAGCCATACAAAAAGACTAATCTGGTTCATTATGCCTGGTGACTCGCCAACTTACCCAGTTTTTCTGCACCTTATAAGTTTTCTTTTTAATAAATGGGGATATTATGTGGCAAGAAGTTGTAAGAGCAGTAACTTAATATGTGAAAAGCATCTCGCTTATTACCTGGCATATATCAATAAATAATAGCCAGTATTATTTTCAGCATCCATTAAAATTCTCTTACTTTGTGAGGTTTTTATTTTCATTCGTATGTTGTAGTGATTATAAAAAGTCTTTAGACATATTATACATTTTCCCTGGCTTCCCAGTTTTATTTATAAATGTTACAATTAGCCATATTTGATTTTACACACAAAATGTTTTCAACTGAAATTGGCATTTATTGACCACCCACTTTGCCCAGAGTTGGAAATCTAGTGGAGTTTGGCTCCTATAAATTGCTATAGAGTGTGATTAATACCTTAAGAATCTCCCAAAGACAATAGTAATGTCTTAATTATCACTGCATTTCTAGCACAATAAAGAAAACTTCTAATTGGTTTACAGAAAATGGGAGTAATTAGTACTATTTGAGTGAAATCAGGCAGAGTGTCACAAATAGGATTCTCTAAAAGTACTCACTGTCAGGGAGTTTGGGGAGTGAGAAGTTTATTAAGAAACAACATTTGTGAAGGGAAGAGGGAGGGGAAGGCAATACTGGGCAAAAGAAGTCAAACCGTGACAGTTTCCCAACAAATCTCAGTAAACCAGTCTGGGGAACTCTGGAGCCATATTGCCCATCAGAGTGTCTTAACATAGAACAGAAATGGCCTGGACTTCTAATATGGGCTGCTCCAGGAAGGATTTGATCTCAGGTAGGACAGCTGTCTCTAGCTGAAGCTGACCCAGAAGGAGCCTGACCCTTGTTCACACTTCCCACGGCTGGGCAGCACATTCTCCCTTATAGGGATCTCAGTGGCATCTCTGTATCCACCACTAGAGTGTTCTCAGAAGAGTCAATGTCTTAAAGGATTACAAAGTTTTCTCCACAAGGACATCATAGAAATGGATTCTAGGAATCGCTTGAACCTGGGAGGTGGAGATTGCAGTAAGCCAAGATTGCACCTCTGCACTCCAACCTGAGCAACAGAGCAAGACTCTGTTTAAAAAAAAAAAAAGAAAAGAAATGGATTCTAGGTACAACAGTTTGTCCAAAAACTTGGAAAACTGTAGCTAGGGAAGGCAAGTAGAACAATGAGGGAGTGTAGATTTGGATAGAAGAGTATAAGAATGGTGAATGGCGATTAGTAGAGAAACGAAGTTGGATGGTAGATGGGGTCAGATTATGGAGGGTTTGGCATGATTTGGACTGCCTTTATTAGGTATGTGGAATCATGAAAGGGTTTTAAGAAGGGAAGTAATGTGCTCAGATTTGGGTTTTTTTTTTTTTTTTTTTTTTTTTTTGAGATGGAGTCTCTCTCTGTTACCAGGCTGGAGTGCAGTGGTACAATCTCAGCTCTCTGCAACCTCCGCATTCAAGCAGTTCTTGTGCCTCAGCCTCCCAAGCAGCTGGGACTAAAGAGGAGTAAATAGATAAAGTGGTATGGATAGCCTGGTGCAGTGGCACGTACCTGTAGTCCCAGCTACTCGGAAGGCTGAGGTGGGAGGATTTCTTGAGCCCAGGAGTTCTGGACTGTAGTGCACTGTGCTGATCAGGTGTCCGCACTAAGTTCAGCATCAATACGGTGACCTCCCGGGAGTGGAGGACCACCAGGTTGCCTAAGGAATGGTGAACCAGCCCAGGTTGGAAACAGAGCAAGTCAAAACTCTTGTGCTGATCAGTAGTGGGATCGTGCCTGTGAATAGCCACCGTACTCCAGCCTGGGCAACATAGCAAGACCCCATCTCTAGAATTTTAAAAAAAGGTATAAAAAATTTTTTTAAGTGGTATGGATAAAGAGGAGTAAAATGATGAAAAGTAAAATGTTAAGCAGTTTTCAACAGAACTTACTGATAGTTTGATTTAGGAGTTGAAAGGGTAGGATGACTTGAGCATTCAAATGCAATTAACAGAAATAACCAGTGAGAGTTTTTTTTTTTTTTTTTTTTTTGAGATGGAGTTTTGCTCTAGTTACCCAGGCTGGAGTGCAATGGCGCGATCTTGGCTCACCGCAACCTCCGTCTCCTGGGTCCAGGCAATTCTCCTGCCTCAGCCTCCTGAGTAGCTGGGATTACAGGCACTTGCCACCATGCCCAGCTAATTTTTTGTATTTTTAGTAGAGACGAGGTTTCACCATGTTGACCAGGATGGTCTCGATCTCTTGACCTCGTGATCACCTGCCTCGGTCTCCCAAAGTGCTGGGATTACAGGCTTGAGCCACTGCACCCGGTCCACCAGTGAGAGTTTTTAGGAGAAGATAGTGAGTTGATTTGAAATGCCTAGAGGATCATCAAATGCCCTAGAGCAGATGGGTAGAGATGCAGAATTCAAGAAAGTAGTCTGGGCTAGAGGTACTTTTTGGACTATATGTATATTTGGGACCTGTCAGCGTAACCTGTGGGACAGCTGAAATCACTCAACTTGAGTTTATGGAGCAACAAGAGGACCAAATCGAGATGAGGGATTCAGAAGATAATGTGTAGTTACAGAAACCAAAGAAAAGAGAATTTTTAATAGAGAAGGAGTGGTCAACAGTATAAAATACTGTAGAGTGGCCAACCAGCATAGGGGATAGAGCTCACAGTGTTGAGGCACAAATGAGGTGTAAGGAATGGGAAAGATCACGTACAGGCTTCTCTTGACAGAAAGAAGAGAAATAGCTAAATGGAAAGTGTAAGGTCAAGGAATAACTTTTTTTAAGATGACACTCAAGCATGAGTTCATACTTACAGGGGGTAAAAAGGAGGTGGACATGGATTGGAGTAAGAAGTATTAGAAAGGAAAGCAGTATCCCTGTCCAGGCAGAAGGAGTAAAATTTACAGACATTTAAAAGGATTGACCTCTGCCAATATGAGGAAAGAACAGGAGATAATGATGGAAAATAATATTACAACTACAGGTTTTTATGTTGAGGGTTGGCCAGTCAGTATGGCTCGAGCCTATAATCTCAGCACTTTGGGAGGCTATGGCAGGAGGACCACTTGAGGCCTGGAGTTCAAGACCAACGTGGGCAACACAGCAAGATACTATCTCTACAAATAATAATAATTCATGTTGAGGGTTATGATGAATTTGCCTCTTTCCTCTCTCTCACACACATACACACACACACATGGGTGGGTGTTTTGTTTCTTTTTTATTTGGGTGTGTATCAGGGAATTAAGCTACAAGAGGATTTAGGATTTAGACTAGCTACTGAGAGAAATTAAGGAGTTGATCATGACAGATTAAATGTTAAATGTTTGCTACCCAACAGATTGCCCCAAAAGTTAGTGGCTTAAAAGAGCAAACACTTACTATCTGACAGTTTCTATGGACCCAGGATTAGGAGCAGTTTAACTAAGTGGAGATGACTCATTCATATGGCTATTGGCAAGAGGCCTCAGTTTCTGCCACATAGGCTTTTCATGGGGCTAATGCTAAGCGAATCTTGCATCTATCCTAGGTAAAAGAGATTAAAACTAAAGGGATTTTAGAAGAAATGGTAAGAGGAATCCAGGAAAACTTTATCTTACTGAGAATAAAAAGACATTTTTATCAAACAGATTAGCTGACTCTGTTGCAGTTTCAAGTTGCTGTAAGTGGTTAAAAATAACTTTGCTGTAAGGGAAGCAGTATAGCATTATAGTTAACAGTACACTCTGTAATCAAACTTTCTGCCTTACTAATTGTGTGACTTGGACAAATGACTGAATATCTGTTTCTCGTCCATAAAATGGGGGATGTAAGAGTACCTACCTCATGGTGCTGTTAACCCATGTTGATTAATTATTTAGTGTATATAAAGTGCTTATAACAGTGCTACATGTTAATTTTAAATATTAACTGTGTCCTTATTTTACCTTAAAATCATTCACGTCTCGTATTAAATAAATCTTATTCATCCATAAAAGTTTGCTTTCATTGCTACTGTGCCTCTGGAGTGTAGTCAGCTCAGATATTATCTCCTCAAGGCTTTCTCTGACCGCCCAGTATAGACTGTCCTGGGTTACTTTCTATGTTGTTGTTTGTTTGTTTTAAAGAGATGGGACCTGCTATGTTGCCCAGTCCAGAAGGCAGTGTCTATTCACAGGCACGATCATTGTGCACTGTAGCCTTGATCTCCTGGGCTCAGCCAGCCCTCTTACCTCAGTGTCTCAAGTAGCTGGGACTACAGACATGCACCACTGTTCCTGATGTGGTGGGGTGTTTTGTTTTGCTTTGTTTTGTTTGTTTTGTTTTGCTTTGTTTTTTTGAGACAGAGTCTTCCTTTTCCACTCAGGCTGGAATGCAGTAGCGCAATCTCAGATCATTGCAACCTCCACCTCCCCGGGGTCAAGTGATTCACCTGCCTTAGCCACCCCAGAAGCTGGAATGACAGGGGCCTGCCACCACTCCCAGCCAATTTTTGTATTTTTAGTAGAGACAGGGTTTTACCATGTTGGCCAGGCTGATTTCAAACTCCTGACCTCAAGTGATCTGCCCTCTTCGGCCTCCCAAACTGCTGGGATTACAAGCGTGAGCCACCATGCCCGGCCAGTTTTTTAATATATTTTTATATTCTTAGACTTTAACACTAGTTGAAAGTCTTTATTTGCTTCTCAGTTTATAATGTATCTAAAATGTGCCTAAAAGAGGGCTGGCACACTTAAGTACTTGTTGAATGAATGTGACCAAAGCTACTAAGTATGTATGTCATTTCTTCATAAGTAACAAGCCATCCTTAAACAATTTAAGTAGTTGAATTTGCCACACCTTTCCTTTTTGAAACACAGTGATTTTTTTTTCCACAGCAGCTTCATTAAAATTATTTAATGAGAATATGATTGGAAAATAAAGGTAGATTACTTCTAATAGAAAATTTCTTCAAATGATTGTGGCCTACACAGCTGTTTTCAGGTTTTTGTCTACTTTTGAGAAATCATATGTCTAAAGTACTAAGGTATTTTCACTTGATACATGTATTATCAAAATACTTTAACAAAGAAAATATAATTATCCAAGCATTTCTGTGTTGCTTCACAGCAAAAATAATTAACATGATAGGTAACATATATTGATCATCAAGTGTAGCATACTATTCTAAATGCTTCACATAGATTAACTAATTTAATCTTCATAACCCTATCAGTGTGAGTGCTGCTGTCATTCCCATTTTACAGATGAGAAAACTGAAGATGGATTTAGATGTTCAAAGTCACACAACTCATAAATATGTATTTCTAGTAAATGTATATATTTACTGATGTCTTATCCTTTAAAGATTATCATTGCTTTAGTATTTCTTAGCTCTAGAATTATTTATAATGCACATCTTAAAATGTACATTTGCAGGCCGGGCGCGGTGGCTCAAGCCTGTAATCCCAGCACTTTGGGAGGCCGAGGCGGGTGGATCACGAGGTCAAGAGATCGAGACCATCCTGGTCAACATGGTGAAACCCCGTCTCTACTAAAAATACAAAACATTAGCTGGGCATGGTGGTGCGTGCCTGTAATCCCAGCTACTCAGGAGGCTGAGGCAGGAGAATTGCCTGAACCCAGGAGGTGGAGGTTGCGGCGAGCCGAGATGGCGCCATTGCACTCCAGCCTGGGTAACATGAGTGAAACTCCGTCTCAAAAAAAAAAAAAAAAAAAAATGTACATTTGCCAGAGTTCTTAATCAGCATTCATTGTGTCTGTTGTGTACACCAAACTGTTACTACCAAACTGAAGACAGCCTCATGCAGGTATATAAAGCAGTAAATTTGATGTTTCTAATAGAACTTTTCTTTTTAGTTGATGAAACACACCAAGAACTTGATGAAGTCAGTCTACTTACTGCTATCACAGTGTTTATTTTGTCTACCAGTCCAGAAGTAACTACTATCCCATGCCTTCAGAAGCGCTGTATTGATAAATTTAAAGCTACTCTTGACATAAAAGATCCTATGGTAAGTGTCAAGTGTCTTTTAGCAGAAAGATGTTTGTGATAGGAGTATGGCCAGGCTTTTGCAAAATTTTCTTTGTGATTTGTTGACTCCAATAGGAGGTATTAGACTACAAATTTTTGTTTTTAGATTTGGATTAATTTCTGTTCCTAGAGTGACAAAGTCCAATAACAGTAGTCTTGTTCTTCAGCCCTAAGGGTAGAGGATAGTGGCAGAAGAGGAAATTTTAAAAAACTAAATTTGAAATGGAGGAATCTTAAGATTGATGTAGCACTAGAACTTTATAAGGGACTTGCAAGATACTTTGTAGTATATTATAGTGGATTTTCTTTAAAAAACAAAAGAGAAAGGGAGGCCAAGCACTGTGGCTCATGCCTGTAATTCCATCCAGCGCTTTGGTAGGACATGGTGGGTGGATTGCTTGAGGCCAGAAGTCTGAGAGCAGCCTGGGCAGTATGGTGAGAACCCATCTCTACAAAAAATACAAAAATTAGCGAGGCATGGTGGCACAGGCCTGTAGTCCCAGCTACTCAGGGGCACTGAGGCAGTTGGATCACTTGAGCCTGGGACCTTGAGGCTACAGTGAGCTGTGATCATGCCACTGCACTCCAGCCTGGGCAACAGAGCCAGACTCTGTCTCAAAAGAAAAAAAGACTCCAGAACATACCTTCAGTAATATGATTGTGAAATAACAGGACCCATTCCAAAAGCAATACGCACAAATTGATCCCATTCCTTTATGGCCCATTCATTTGACTGAGTAATTTCCTATTTTTTATGTGCCACTAGGTGAATTCATAGCCAATGATCACACATATATCTACTCCTGAAGATATAGGAACCAGATTTTCTCTTAGAAAAAATAATTATTAAAATACCATTACAGTTAATAAAAGTTGATTTATGTATTTGATGTATAGTCATTTCCTTTTATCCTCTGTCCTTTTGCCTGTTGCCTGCAGGAGCTTTGTATAGCAGTCTCCAAGTGGGGGTGCTGATGCATGATGACACTTAATTAGTATGGTCCAGACACGGTTCCTTGAAACACTTAGGCCATGACATTTGAACATCAAATACATCACTTTTGTCTAAAACATTTTCTGAAATCAACAAAATATCTTTCAGGGTTGTATGTGTTTTGTTGTTTTGGGTGTTTTTTTGTTTCATTTTGCTTTCTACGCATAAAAATGTTAAAGGAGGGCTTTGGGTGGTGTTTTTGTTTTTGCTTCACATTATGGAGAAAGACGTGAGGGGAGAAACGGGAATTAGAGAAAAGAAGAAAAAGTAACCACTCAGTTTGTTTCCCTCTTGTACCTATACACCTTTTTCCCATTCCAAACTGTCCCAACCACTGTTAGCGCAGAAGTTTGATTGCCTGTTGGCCCTTGGACTTTCAAAATTGAAGATAAATTAGAAATAAATTTAAATGCCTTTGCTACTTTAAAGAGCAAAGAGTCCTCAGGTACTTTTTAAAAAATTTATTTATAGTATTTGCTATTCTTTTCTCTTATCTGATTAGGTACAAATCAAGACCTACCAGCTCCTACATTCCATCTTTCAGTATCCAAATCCAGCTGTTTCCTACCCATATATTTACTCTTTAGCATCCTGTATCGTGGAAAAACTACAGGAAATAGACAAGAGAAAACCTGAAAACACTGCTGAGCTTCAGATCTTCCAAGAAGGCATAAAGGTCTTAGAAACACTGGTTACTGTTGCTGAAGAACACCATCGTAAGTGTCAGCACTAAATTCATACTAACTCAGAATCTCTACAAAAATCAGGATTTTACTGTTACTTAAATTACAAAACATTTAATCACATTATATCTGTATTTCACATTCATTGAAAGGTGTTATATTAATCCCAAGTATTGATGTTATTTAGTATTAATTTAGAAGAGATTGGTCAAATTGTTTTCTTCAGTGGGGAAAAATGTATACAGATCAAGTGCGTTTGCATCCTTATATTATGAATATTTATGTCCCTGAACTTATATCATTTGTTTACTTTCTAGGCTCTCAGCTGGTGACTTGTCTTTTGCCCATCCTCATTTCCTTCCTTTTGGATGAAAATGCTCTGGGATCAGCAACTTCCATAATGAGAAGTTTACATGACTTTGCTTTGCAAAGTCTCATGCAGATTGGACCCCAGTATTCATCTGTTTTTAAAAGTTTAGTGGCTTCTTCTCCAGCCCTAAAAGCCCGCCTTGAGGCTGCTATAAAGGGCAATCAGCAAAGTGTGAAAGTCAAGATACCGACATCTAAATATACTAAGAGTCCTGGAAAAAATTCAAGCATCCAATTAAAGACCAATTTCCTCTGATGTCATTTTTTTGGAATAGTAAGCACCTTAATATAATACTTGATCATTTCCTTCTCTTTGGGGACAAAAGTGACATGTTAGACACAGTGCTCTTGGAGGTCTAGTTGATTGTTTTACCTTAAATAGCTGTAACTTTTCAAAGTAACAGCATACTTAACATTTTTTTGTGCTGGGGAGGGGGGGGTTGTGTTTTTTTTTT